TATATATATATATATGTTGTTATTATATGCTGTGGAGTCGGTTCTGACTCACCGACCCTGTGGTCTAGTGCTCTATCCTCCCGTGCACACCAGGAGTCCGATAAGCTCTCTAGCAGGCAAGAAGACTGTGTCGGACAGGCACACAGCATGGACCAGGACAGTCAGGGAAGGCCCTTTAGAAACAGCTGAGAATGTTGTGCTACAAGAGGTCTTGGTAACTTGTTACAGAGACCCTGAGCTGCACTCTCAAATCAAGAGTTCGGGGGGGGGGGGGAGGGGGGTAAAGGCTCTAAGAGCACCAATTGGTCACCTCGCCCTGTCCCAGACTCACAAGACTGACCTTTCTTAATGAGCAAGTCAGTCATCTGAGCACGCTCCCTGAGTGTGAAACTTCAGGGAGTAAACAGAGCTGTGCCAACCTGTCAAGAGGGGATAGGTGCTCACACCAGCTTCACCAGAAGAGCGTCTCCAGAAGGCAGACTTGGCAGGACTCCAGAGTCTGGTGCAGTTCCCAGAGTTGCTCACGAATGGGGCCCTGCTCTCCAGTTCTGCAGCAGGCACCTCACAGATGGCATCAGCGGTCAGCACGTGTTTCAGATTCAAACCAAGCTGAACGGTCCACCAAGTCCACCAACACTCTCCGTGGAATTTCTTTTTTCTATGAATCCCAGTTTCTAGCCAAACTCCAGCAGATTGGTGGTAGGGGAATTCAAAAATTCATTAAATGAAAAGATCATGGAGTTTTCCTACAAACTTTCTGAAACTCCATCACATTTCCTTTTAGGGAACTGCTGGAGTCAAAGCCAAGACCAGCAGTTATACCTGAAGCATACACCTCCAGTTTCACCATACGGGACCAAGAAATAACCTGACTTATGTAACACATATTATGTCAGAAATGCTTTTCTTGGATGCTACCTGGTTTGATTCCTCCACTTCTTTATGTGCACATACTAAATCTGTGTAACAATGCGGTGCTTTTCCACGGCCTTTCTCATCCTGGTCTTGTAACTCCTACCAGATGACTGGGTGGGGCTATGCAAATGAGGTGCTTGTGCCCCCCTCCCCCCCAAGGGGATTGGACAGTGTCTCCGGCTGGGTTCTCCAGAGTACATTCCCTGGATAGAAACTTCTTTCATGTATACACATAGAGAAGTTTCTATCCAGGGAATAGCTTACAGTTGTAGAGGTGGCAGAGTCCCAAGTCTGGGTCAACTGAGCTGAGATTAGCAGGTGGACCCAGCAAGCAGACAAGCAGACAAACAGTAGAGCAGGCCACTGACTCCGATTCAAAGGACTGGAGGTTGGAGGACAACCCAGATGCAAGATCCAGATCCAATGGATGTCTGTTAAATTGGGAGCAGACCACACCCCCAAGGAAATAGTCTTTCAACTGATTGGCTACTCATAGTCAATCATCATAGAGTTAACTCTATCTGTAGTGGATCTCACCATGGGCAAACACATCTCATGGCCACACCACTGGGACTCCTGGCTCAGTCAAGTTGGCACAAAACCTTAAGTGTCACAGACAGTTTGCTAATAATGCGACTATGGTGCATGAAACGCCTTGGGGGGCTGTTGTTATTGTTAAGTAACTCATAGCAACCCTGTATAGGGTTTCCAAGGAGTGGCTGGTGGGTTTGAACAACTGACCTTGTGGTTAGCAGTCCAGTGCTGACCCTATAGTGCCATACCAGGATGCCATAAAAGAAGCCGACAGCACCCAGTATTCCCAGGTGGTCTCCCATCCAAGTACTAACTAGTCTTGACCCTGCTAAGCTTCTGAGATCAGACGAGATCAGGTGCATTCAGGATGGGTTGTCCATAGACCCTATGGGGGTGGAGTCATGTAAATAAGGTGTATGCAACCCTAACGAGGGGGTTGGCCAGTTTTGCTATGCTAGATTGGAAGGAGAGCCAATCCCAGAGGACGGAGGCACCACTACACCAAGAAGAAGAGGTGGGAGTGGAACACGGGATCCCTGTGTGGGGAACCTTCTAGACCCAGTAGACAGAGCGCTCTAACACTAGAGATGGTGAGAGCTGGTGAAAAGCAGCGACAGAGAAACTCCAGCAAGAGAGGTAGCAGAGACAGGAGACTGGCATGAGGTGGAGGGGATTTCCTAGCCCACGGAGTTTGAAAGATGGGTGCCTTTGGGCAGGAGGCTTGCTGACAGAGTGGGGTGCCTCCAGGCACATGGCAGAACTAGGCTGACCCTGAAAGCATGGTGGCTGCACGCCTTCCGAAGGAGGCTTGCAGGGACAGTGGGGTTCTTCTGGGTACTTACCTGTGGAGCCAAAGCGCTCCGCAGCACTTGCTCGAGCAAG